CCAACTTCTATTTTGTTTCTATCATCTCTAGTGAGAATCATTTTCAAACGAAAAAGTATAAACAAATGATGTTGGGACATTATTGAACTTTGAAAAAGACAGAGGTCATAACAGACATTTTAATTGAGTATAAGTATTCAGACTCAGAAGAATTAGGTACAAGGGAGAAGAAGGAATTTGCATCAGTACTAGGCATCATCAATGGTTCACCATTGTAAACAAGCTATAATAAAGTAGCCTGATTTAGGTGGAATTTATAGACTTACTACTAGAGATAGATCAAAGGAATGTCGTAAACAGGACACAACATGAATTCAGAAGAGCAATGGATAAAATATCTCAAAATATTCTTACAGGTATATTAGAAGTAGCTGAATGAGATTTCTACTAAGTGGCTTCAATGCTAGTAGAAATACCATGTATAAAGTTTGCTACTTTTAAATTCATAGTAAGCTAAAGAAAGTTTCTTTAGGGATGTATCATCGTGGTTGAATTCCAATTATAGAAAACATGCTTATTAAATCTACAGATGATGCAGAGGATAAAGTTAATATGCTGGAAGATAGACTCAAGAATCGAAAAGACCTAGATAGATTATAAGTATAGGCTAAAACAAGGAAGAATAAATGTAATAGGAATAATTCAAGTTCAATCAACACTTCTACAAGTATGATAGGAGAACCACCGCTTCACAAGTCATTGACAAAAATAAATGGAAACTTTAAGTATCTGCTTAATGTGAGCCAATGTCATTATATACCTCAGTAAAACTGACCTGTATTAAGGTACATCTTAAATCAATAACTAAAATAATAATTTCACTGTATGATGTTTTAAATAGCTGCGATTTTGATTACATAACACATGTTCATTTTTAGAATACTGAAAAATGTAAATAAGCAAAAAGACAATAAAGATCACCCACAATTCTACCTCAAAGATGAAGACTACTTTTTACATTTTGGTGTTTATCATTCCATACTTCTTAATACACATTATAAATTTTCACAAATGCTTATATTGTCTTTAAAAAAAAAAAAAAGATCATACTACAAATGCTATTTTGTAACCTGTTTGTTTGTCTTTTTTTTTTTAATTCAACAGTGTATCAAGTCCCAGTATATTTACTCTGGTCAACTGATATTGGTGCATTTTGTTCATTTCTGCTCATCACCTTTATGAGAGTCACTGTAGAATTTGAGAATATGCAAATAAATAAAAAGAGAATAATGAGAAGCATGAAAATATAACTTCACCTACACTCCATTGCCAACTAATACCAACTGTTGGAAATTACAGGGAGGAGGATTTCAACTCAATATAAGGATAATTTTTTTAATTAGAGCTGTCAAAAAACCCGGAATGGACCTAGTCATTTAAGGGTTTTACAACACTAGAATAACTAACAGGTAAAAGATGTTCCTCTAGGTCAGAAGTTGAATAAATGGCCCCATTTTATTTGCATATTCTGTAATTCTAATGGAAATTGTACTAAAGAAATTTACTCTATGTCCATTATGAAGCAAAACTTTAGTAATCAAGATATTAGGAAACAGAGTCAAGTGCTTTAAAGTTGTGTGAGAAATAATAACACTAATGATAACCACCAATGTGGTAAATGCTTTGCATTCATTTCTTCCTATTTCACTTCTTACAAATATGTGATAGGTACCATTACTATTCCCATTTTATAGAAGAGGACAGTGAGACTTAGAGAGATTTTTATACTTATTGAAGATCATTCTTACTTTTGCTGAAAATGCACCCAAGCATACCTGATTCCCCATCAGGTTGCTACTGCTCACTTAGTAGGCAATATGTCAACAAAAGCATCTTCAGAGGAGATGGAGAGAAGTGAGTTGGGGGAAATTGGAGGGGGAGAGAAACCATGAGAGGCTGTGGCCTCTGAGAAACAAACTGAGGGTTTTGGAGGGGAAGGGGGTTGAGGGTTGGATGAGCCTGGTGCTGGGTAGTATGGAAGGCACATATTGCAAGGAGCACTGGGTGTGGCGCATAAACAATGAATTCTGCAACACTGAAAAGAAATAAAATAAAATAAAATGGAAAAAAAAGAAAGAAAAAGAAAAGTTCTTATCTAGTGATCCCTCGAAGGGCAGTCATGAGGTTTTTTTTGTTTTTTTTTTTGTAATTTAGGAAAGAAATTAAGGATTTTCAAATCAAATTATTCATAGCAAAAAAGAGTTCTGGTTAGACTACGCCATGCATCTTAAATTTTTGTGAGTCCAACAGATTCAATGAGTAAGACTTTAAGATGTGGAAAAGCAAATTTAAATCACATAACTTCAAATTTTTGCCATTGCTAATTAAGTGACCTTGGGCAAGTCCTTAATCTTCCTAACTCTTCAGTCCTTCTGTGAACTAAGGCCCAGCCACTTAAAGCTGATATAAGAATTGAATGAGATGAGGGGCACCTGAGTGGCTCAGTGGGTTAAGCCTCTGCTTTCAGCTCAGGTCATGTTCTCAGGGTCCTGGGATGGAGCCCTGCATCGGGCTTTCTGCTCGGCAGGGAGCCTGCTTCCTCCTCTCTCTCTCTCTCTCTGCCTGCCTCTCTGCCTACTTCTGATCTCTCTCTCTCTGTCAAATTAAAAAAAAAAAAAAAATCTTTAAAAAAAAAAGAATTGAATGAGATGATATGCATAAGCATTTAGCACAGGATCTGACACTATTATTACACAACACAAGTAATAAAGGCAGGGAGGGGGTAGTGGCAAATCCATTCTGCAATTTATTCCAAAGTATTTAAAACTGTTCAAGTGTCATTATGTTTGAAGAGGAAGGGGCCACATTGTCCATTATTCTGTAAATAAATTTCTGATGACAATCATTTGTGAAAAAAAGTAACAATTAAATGTGCCTTCTTAGAAATTTCATTTTATGCAAAGGATCATCCAAAGAATACAATTTAAACCCTGATTTAAACCCTGATTTTCTTCAGAGACATTGTTTTAGTTGTTTATTTTGTATGAGATAGATACAAGTTTAAAGGTTAAAGGTCAAGTTTAAAGGTCAAGTTTAAAGGTTACTGGTTTTGATTTTAACTTTTACAACTTGGTTCAAACTACTCCAATGAACACATGATTTTAAGTTTTGTTTTCTAGGCTCATTTCTGTTATAAAGCTACCATTCTCTCCTGACAAAACGAGCAAAAGGGAAAACGTTTTAATCAAGAATTATACTGTGGGTTACAATTCTGAAATTTTATTTTAATTCCTAAAATTTGCCATCTATCCTTTTTTTTAAATGGCACAACTGAGAAAGTATTTAAAAGATGTTTACTTTTAACTTCTATCACAAAGATGGGCTTTTTAAAATACCGTTTATCTCAGTAACATTAACTGAAGTTCTCACTGTTCTCAAAGAATTCCTTAGTGTTTTTCCAAAGGAATTGATTACTTACAAACCTCTCTCAAATTACAGGTTTCTAGCCATAAACATTTTTACAACTAATTCAGTCAACTAGTAAACATATTTATTTTTATCTGCAACTTTAAAACCATAACCAGATAAACTGCTTTTATATAAATTACCTGTGACTAAGGGCAATTATCAGAGCCATAATCTGAAATATGTAAACTATTTGCATTTTAAATTGAAAATTACTTAACAAGAGAGTACACACACACACACACACACACACACACGAGTCATAACTTCTAAGATCAACAAAAAATAAGTCCCATATTCACTGATCTGACGTGAACCATCATTCCAATAAAATGTCACTATTAACAAGTATAGATGATCACATATGGAGCTTTTTAAAATCCCATCAACTATTTGCCAACTAAATTCATTTCACTCTAATACAGATGTTTTCATTTTCTCTATTAGCCAATATTGTAATTAACTGCACTGCCCGACCTCTACAACATATAAGAATTTGAGTAAAGGACACAATGTTATCGTCCAGCAGTCTGTATTAAACACTTGTCAAGAGTGGCACAGGAGTTTTTAAAAGCCAAGAAAATCACCTAGATTTTTTAAAATTTTTACAAGTACAGTTAGGTTGCTTAAGAGATGTTCTAGGGTGAAGATATGATGCTTCCAAAAATATCCAGGGCAAAGTGAATAGCCATAATTTTATAAAGAGCTTTCCTTGCATTTTACCTAATGAATATTCTTCAGGCTTCTTCCCTCTTATTTAATTTTTCCATCAATTCAACTTTTAAGTTCATAGTTTTTCCAACATGCAAATCAACCCAGCTATTTCTAAGGTACTACCTGCTGAATAAAGACCTTGACATTTTTTAAAATGTCATCTTAAGAGTCTCCAAGCAATATCAGTCTCACCTGCAACATCTTCATATTAAAAGGCCTCACCATATTCCATATACACCATGCCAATCCCGACCTGACATCCGTCATCCTACTAACCAAGTTTCACTCTGCTGTGTCCAGGTAACTGGAAGTACTGCTGGGGCTGCCTCACCTGCCTCATCAAGTTTTACACACACCCTGTACTGGTGACATCTCATCAGAAGGTTCCGTGGCTTCATTTTATGGGATCATAACCCACAGCACAGCAAATGCCTTCTGCAAGAGAAGGTAACAGCAACCAAAGGCTGTTGCTTTTTGCAGGGTAACTGGATGCACGCAATAGCTTCTCTACCAATTTCATTCAAAGAGACAAAAAAGGCTGGGTTCGACACTGAAAATACATAATAAACATTGGTGAAAAGCGAGTGGAACACCAATTTTCTTCCAGCAACACTAGTACATGTACAAGTTCTGCACCATAGCTCGGAGAAAAGTAGCTACTGACGCATTGATGGAAGGCTATTTTCAAATTACTCAAAGAATCTAAGGCATCAATCTGACTAGGAGCCTCATGCCTCCTCTCCACACACACAGTCTGTTTTCCTGCCTAATTTAAGAATGAATCGCTGGCAGCCACCAGGTGCAATAACTCTGAGAATGAGAACGGATCTATCACAATGCAAAACGAGGTATGCAGTCCCAGAGCTGGTTCCCGTCCTTACCTTAGCAGATTAGACAGGGGCAAGGGTCCGGATCCACCGCCCAGGATCCCTCCTTTCTTGCCAGACAGGAGTTTCTCCACCAGAGCCACATTTCCAGTGCGGGCAGCTTCCAGAAGCTCCTGGTCCTTCCCCATAGTCTTTCACCCGCTCCCTCACAGAGTCCACCCCCCCCCCCCGATCTTCCTCCCCGCCCACCCCCACTTCCCAAAAATCCAGGGCCCTCTCCGCCCCACCCTAAAATAATGCAAGAGCTTCAGCACGAAGCGATTCCTGCAGCCCCAAGCCGGGAACACCACTGTCCTCCTCTTAGGGGCGCAGCTTTTACAATGGGGATCAGACCATGTCTAGGAAGAGGGGCTGGCCGAGCCGGGAGCCGCGACGCGCCCCCACAGCCACTCCCCTGAATTCCCGAGGCCTCGTTCCCGAGGGTGGGGCGTGAGGGGGTGCTTATAAGGAGCGCGAGGAGGATGCTGAGGACTAAGGAGGTAGCAGGAAGAGGAGGCGGAGACAGTCCTCGCCGGAGCCTGAGCGCAACGAACAACCACGGCGGCGGCGGCCCGCGCACCCTCGCGCCCGGTCCCGACTCTCCTCAGCTTCCGCGCCCGGCGGGCTCAGCGGTTAGGCGGCGACGTTCGCGGCCCGCGACGGAGAGGAGCGCGGCGGCTGCGGCTCGGCGGCCCTGCTCCACGCAGAGACCGGGCGGTGCGAACAAGCCGCGGCGGGCGCGTGCCGAGGGCGGCGGCAACGGCGGCGGCGGTGGCGGCGGTGGCGGCGGTGGCGGCGGCCGCGGCGCAGGGGCTGAGGCAGAGCGGGCGGGAGGACGCCCCGGTCCGCCGGCGGCGGCTCTGAGGCCTGGCGCGCGTGGCGGCCGGCGTGCGGGGGGCGTGTGCGCGCGGGCAGGTGCGGCCAGTAGGTCGGTCCCGAGTCGGGAGGGGGGAGTGGCGGGGGTAGGGGGTGAAGAGAACCGCGGAGAGGGCCGGCCCGGGATGGGGGCGGGGCGCCGGGATGATATTATCTTCGTTTTCGTGGGCGGGGACCCCGGGGACCCTCCCTCCTCCCGTCTCCTTGGGGGAGGTTTAACCGTGTGAGGTCTGGAGTTCTTCGGTCGCGGTGACTCCTCGTCAGCGGGGCGGGCGCGGGCGCCACGCCTCGGGTCAGTCACGAAGCTTGAGGAAAATCCTCCATGACGGAGATGGCGAAGCTGGTGGTGCTGGGAAGGGGCCCTTCTGCGGTCGCTTCTGTCCTGGCAACTTGACCTCCGTTTCGCCCTTCCGCTTACCTCCGCGAGACGAAGGAGAGCTACCCTTGGTTAGAAAGGTTTGTTTTATCCTGGTTTCGGTGGCACTGGCCACTGTACAGTTTGTGACTGTTCCAGTTTTTCTAGTCTTTAATCAGCCCCACATTTCAGCTGGGCTTTGGAGAGCAACTGGCGTCTAAAAATATCAGGGAAAAGGCTCTAATTGAAAATTCCTCCACACGCACACTGGGAAAAACATTATAAATGGACATGGATTAGAGACCCACTTTTAATTTGCATAAATATCATCAGCAATTCATTGTGCATGTTTGGCTTGAATTTGTTCCATTTCTTTCTCTCCTTGCCCATGGTAGGGAACACGAGTTTATTTGCTTTTGAAACTTACTGTGATACCTTGTACTTTCTTTGCCTTGCCCTAGGAGTACACGATAAATGTTAACTTGTTGAATATCGACTGTAGGAAAAGGGTCATAATAGGCACTTTCCTCACAACAGCTCAGTGAACCGGGTATTACCAACGTATATCCATTTTGGAAATGAGGAAATAGTGGCTCAAAGGGTTAAATAAATTACTCAAGATGTCGCACACAGTAAGTGGTAGGTCAAATCTGGACCCCAGAACTGATCCTCTATAGAGCCTGTGTTCTTCCCAATACACTTTACTGCCCCCATGAAAGGGTAAAATGGGCTGACATAATTACACAGACATTGCTGAACGGGTCCTTATGTGCCAGGCACTTTGCCACATGCTTTCCGTATGTTTTATCAACCTTCATAACAATTCTATGAGACAGGTACCATTTTTATCCTTATAGTTGAACAACCAGGTTAGCCCAATATGTGGCTAGAATGTAACTGAACCCAGACTCAAATCCAGAGCTGCCTGCTATAGGCAGAGATTTTAAATAAATAACTGGGGAAAACTTATAACAAATTCAGAGGTAAATAACAGAAATACAGTTTTTTAAATGTTCATGGAATTCAGTGTTTTGAGATTTCATTTGGTTCAAAGTAGGAGGTAAATTATGGTTATTTATAGGAAGTTTACTGAAGGAAATTTTGACCTAGTGTGGCTTTTTGTTTTTGTTTTAGAATCTGCTCTAATGATAAGATGACATTATATGTGCTAATGATATGATCCTTCACATAATGAGACTAGCAAACCAGTTAAAGAAACAAAGTAAAGAGCTATTGAATTCATTTTGAAAATGGCTAGGGAACTCTTTCTTCCATTTTCCTAATGTTTTCACCCAAGCAAACCACACCTTTCTCAGAATATACGATGAGTAGTCAGTTGGTTAGAGCTAAAAAATCACCCTCAAGTTTTCGCAAGGAACATTTAATCGTGGCTGATGTAGTGATGGGATGGCTAATGAGTTATTATCAGAAATCAACCCCAGTGGGAAAACCATTAGTAATGGTTAACTCTAAGAACCAGTTCCACAGTTCCAGGCACTCTGGTGGTTTATTATATTCAAAGTCAGCTTTTCAACTCTGAATGCCTTGTCTTTACTTACATCATAGCTTCTTGTCAAAGAGGACAGAGGTTTGAATGCATAGAAACTAAATGCAAATTAAAAGTGAAAACATTCTTCCAAAAATCTGAAGAGGCAAAAAAAAAAAAAAAAAATTTTTTTTAAACATCCAGATTTCATCAAGATAGTTTGCATCTGTGTATAAGTGGAAAAAGCCTGAAAATCTCGGGAACCATTTCAACAGGCCACATCTCAATTTGCACATAGGTAAAATTCAAAAGTCGTATCTGATGGTCTCCATTGGCCTTTACAGTCCTAACAATTTATGCATATGATGAAATATGGACTTAGTCCATTAAATTATATGCATAATTGAAGATAGAAATCAAGTAAGGAGACAGATTTGAATCAATTTGTGTTCTGTTTTTAATTACAAAAATAAAAATATATTATCCTCCATTTTTTTAATTGAAATATTTTCCATAAAAATCTATCTTTACTGGGATGCCTGGGTGGCTCAGTCAGTGAAGCTTCTGCCGTCGGCTCAGGTCATAATCCCAGGGTCCTGGGATCAAGCCCTGTATCAGGCCCCCTGCTAAGATGAGAGCCTGCTTCTCCTGCTCCCTATGCTGTTCTCCCAGCTTGTGCTCTCTGGTGCATGCTCTCTCTCTCTCTCTCTCTTTCAGTAAAATAAATAAATAAAATCTTTAAAAATTAAAAATAAGTCTATCTTTACTATTCTCGGTGAACAGTATTTACAATAGTAGTAAATGTATATTATGGTTCAGGAATGATACTAGAGTCTTTTTCTCATTTTATATATATGACATATATTGTATGTGTATATATATACACACACACTTGTTATATATATGTTGATACATGTCATTGTGTACATATACTGTTGTATATATGTTTTATACATGTGCACATATATATACATACTAGTCAGGATTAAATGAGACAAAGAATCTAGTATCATTTGTAGTACATGATAACATAATACACATTTTATTTCTTATAGGTACATGATCTGTATCCTGTGAGGTAGATAATACAATTATATATTACAATAATATAGCATATATATTTTAGATACATAATACAATAGTAATAACGTAATTCCTGCATAACTTCTGAATCCCTTACTTTATTTTTTTTTAAGATTTTTTATTTATTTATTTGACAGAGTGACCACAAGTAGGCAAAGAGGCAGGCGGAGAGGGGGATGCAGGCTCTCCGCCCAGCAGGGAGCCCAATGCGGGGCTCAATCCTAGGACTCTGAGATCATGACGCGAGCCAAAGGCAAACTCTCAACCAACTGAGCCACCCAGGTGCCCCTGAATCCCTTATTTTAAATTCTAAAATATACAGATCTAATGCTATACCTTTGGGCAAGCTGAGAATTACTGCTCTAATGTACAATGTACATATGTACATATTGAGGTCGATTAATAAGAGAAGGGACTAGGAGTTAAACTAGAAAGGGGAGACAAAGCAAATATAGTGTTTGTATACACACACACAGAGATTTTGGAAATCTAAAATAAATGAAAGAACATGAATCCAGATGAGTTTAGAACTATGCACCAAGGTCTCTTTGTAGTGAGGAAGAGAATATCCTTATAACATAAAGTAAACTGATTTAAGATAGGGTAACCCTGTGATTTAACGTAGTGGGTTTGGAAAGTATCTACTTTCTTTATTTCTGCATATCTGGGGCTCTGCATATCTGGGGCTATTATGATGGGCTCTGGGACAGAAGTCAACAGTTCCAGCTTACAGAATATGAAGATACTAGACAACTGAACAGAAGCCAAGTTCTTGCTCTCTACATTACATTTGAGTTTGTCTCTTATATCTACCTAGCATAAACTTTGCCACTTGTCATTTTCCTGAGGAAATCCAAACACTAAATGTATCATGATGTTTGCATTCTAAATTTATGGTCATGAGTGTTGAAGGCCATGGAATGTGAATCACCCATATTCTATTGGGTCAATTAGTATCTAATATCCCACAAAGTGTGGGGATTGCTACTAAAACTAGACTGAAAATGAGACTAGGAATTAGCTCTCTGTAAATTGCATCCTGAGACTTGTCTGTGGAGAAAGTTAGCTTACAAATTTGACTTCATATACCCAGCCGAGCTAAAGCTTGTCTCACATTGGAGTCAAAGGACTAGAGAGAGGGATAGGTTTCCAGATTCCCTTTGGAAAGCGTTCTGAGATAGGTCCTGATCCAGCTATGCTCACCATCTTGTGGTAGAAAGCAGAGGAAAGCCCACTGCCTTTTAGTAAGCATGGCAAGAGAAAAAGAAAGCCACAATTGAACCTGTATCTTGTTTTGAAAGCACTGTAACCCCAGCCACTGGTAAAGGCGTTCCAGTGGATACAAGTAG